AGTATTGAGCTGACAAGAGAGAAGGAGTACGGTACTCTGCCAGTGTGAAGAATCTACAGAGGTATTACCAGTCACTAGTAGCAAGAGATAGACCACATTGAATGATGACGATGAGGACGAATCATATGAAGTACTATCATAGCTAGTACAGAAATTCTACTGCTTTACTTTACTTTCTTTCACTCTGTACATGCAATTAGCTCACTGGCATGATTTTAAAAATAAAGGTTATGATAATCATATTATATGTATAGCTTATTCAATGTATGGCTTCATAGTTTATGTGATTGTTAATAACACCTGCACAGAGCATTTCCATACTGACAGTATGTCTTTATTCAAGTGTTTTGGTAGGTATTTCAAGCTTTTCTGCTCCAGCATTGGAATGCGGGGCATGAACGTTTTTTTTTATTTTGAAAATCAACAGTTTGCATTATGCAATTAAAAATCCTAACCAATAAAGTAGGGAATAGCTATCCAACTGTTGTTTTAGTTGTATGTTACTTCATATTATAGTTATATCAATGTAAATCATTGTTTTCACTTGTGTTTCTCATTCTTTCCCTGCCATGTCGTAAAATGTGGTGAACCCATCGCTGTATTTGCTCCAAAGCAAATATTGGTCTTTCTAGTATTTTCATTGCCTTTGTCATAGGAATAATTAAAAATAAAGCTTAAAACTATTGTGTGTGAATGTTGCTGCGCAGAATAAGAAAAAATACCAATTTTTTTATAGACCTGGCCTAACCCCTGTCATTATTTTCAATAATTTCATGTCTTAATCAGGTCACAGACCCCTGACTTTTTTTGCCCTGTGGCGGCATAGTTACTTCCGCATCCACGTTTCGCAGTGGTGTGATGCGTTGCACGAGAAATACCCCAAATTGTACCTATACAGGGTGCTATATGGATGGTACTGTACAAATGTATGTGCAACCCAAAAATTGTTGGGCTACACACCTAACTTTTGTGGACTCATCTTAGGCAAAAAGAGGACAAAAACAACAATCTCTACTACATTCAAAACTTTCAGTCTAGAATTTATAGAGACATGTGTACATACCTGCACCACTATTAACTCACCTGCCCCAAACTCATTCATGATAACAGCGATGCGTTTCCCATGTTGTTCTGTCAGGATGTAGTTCAGCAGTGTGGTCTTTCCAGCACCTATAAAAACAGGATTTATAAATTATAGATAAATGCAAAGTCATTATAGTTAGTAGTTATTAAAAGCAGCCAGTCTGCAGTGAAGCATGACACTTTTTCAGGACCTACATGTATAAGTAGTAGTACAATGTGGTTTCATGACTTTTTGTACAAGACAAATATTTTTCCTTTACAGCGGTGATGATGAAACTACAAGAAGAATTGAGTGTTCTTGAAGCACTGCAGTTGATGCTTGTTGTGTGATGCACTCTTTTTTTGTGACTTCTAGTCTGCCATTGACTCTAGTTGTTCACGATGTGTTGACTAGGAAATACCTGAGCTAACAAGCTGTCATGTAAGAATGTAACCTATGATACATTTGTATTGTCTCTCGATGCAGGTGTGCAAGCATCTACTGTATAATATAATATAAGTTCAGGGTTAAATACAGATACTCTGGTTTGCTGGGACAATGTTTTGGTGAGGAAAATTGTAAGATGATACAGAAGATGATACAATATAGTAAAAAGACACAGACTTCTAACCAAAAAGGTGAACAAAAATGGATATAAACAGAGGGCAATTTTTAGAGGCTTGGAAAAAAACATCTACCAAAATGAATGTGCTTCTACAAGTTTGGAATACAACATGCTGTATTTCATTTATGTCATACCAACCCGAGAAAATACGCCTTTCAATGCGAAATGAGCGAAAATTTGGTGTCCCTAAACCAAAAATTGCAACAACATCAATTCCTACGTCCAAATCCTGTATTCGAATTTTTGAATGTGCTTGCGCGGTTAGGGCGAAACGTGTTCGATTTATTTTATGGAAGCCATGGAAGCCCAGGTATGAAACTATGATATAAACATGTTTGTATCCTTCACATACCCCTCCGCAAGACAACGCCAGCTTTGTCACAACCTCTTGGTCGCGATCTGACCGTGTCTGTTTCCCTTCCCCAACAAATTAAGCTTCCTGTGATGTCATACCTCCACACACACAACACACATTCCTGTCTTTGTCTCAGACCAGGTGCAGAGGAGTACGGATGTTCTTGTGAGGGCTTCTTGCCTTTAGATGTTTGTTTTCTTCAAGTCCCATCAGCAGCTTCTTGTAATAATATTGACACCTTCCCACAATGAGTGACAATTCTGAGGGCAAACCTTTAAACTTCTTGTGGGTTCCCAGGAACAATCAAAGGCTGTCACCAAACAGTACTTTCCCTTATTATTTGTCCAAGGCATCTCTAACAGTAAAACACCAAGAATACATGCATTATGAAAGATATTAAGCTCTCATTAATTTGGAAAAAATAACATGAACTGTACTTTTTGGAAATTTTGAGAAGACACCCATATAAAGAACTTCTGTACCCTGAAAAGTTTTGTACCCAAGAGTCAAGAAAGACCAAAAGCGCCACCTTACTTGCAATACCTCCAGTTCTGACTTTTGAACACACCAGAGGAAAACAGTGCTAGCTATATAAATCCTTCAATTGTTTCTATGAGAGAAGAAGTATGGATTCCGAAGAAGGGGTCTGTAGGTGGATGTTATCCTCACTCAGTTTGTATTTTAATTTCGTTAGGTAAATGTGCAGTACTCCCTAAAAGTACCTTGCTTGATGATTTCCCTCTAAATACAACTGTACCGTACATAATAAACCGTGACTGAAGGTTGGCACTCTCCAAGTACTGTCTAGTTACCTCCATGAAATGTGTCATGGAGGTTATATTTTCAGTTGCGTTTATCTGTCCGTCTGTCCGTCTGTCCGTCTGTCCGTCTGTCCGTCTGTCAGTCTGTTGGTCAACAAGATAACTCAAGAACGCCTGGATGGATTGGTTTCATACTTGGTGTGTTGGTAGGGTGTGACGAAAACTGGAAATGATTAGATTTTGGGCCCCCTAGTGGCTTCCCTTGGTACTGCAGCGCAACTTCCGATTTTGATATCTCGCGATCTGGACATGCTAGGGTCATGAAATTTGGATGGAAGGTAGCTCTTTTCCTCGGGAAGAAGTCACGTGAGTTTGGTTCCCCTAGCGGCTTGTTCTGGAACTGCAGGGTGGTTTCTTTGAAAATCTTCGAGAGAGGATAACTGAACAACCGTTTGATGGATCATCATGATTTTTGGTATGTAGGTAGCTTAAGTGATGCTTGACATAATCAAAATATCATTATGCAAATCAGGATCTAATTTGCATAATTAATGAGGAAATTCTATAAATCAGCTGTATTTCATATTAGGGCTATAAAACTCTATAGACATATGTTAGTGAGAACGACAAGATCATTGGCAGATATCGATTATGTAAAGGAAGACCTAATTTGCATAATAAATGGCAAATTGGTACAATTTTATGGTAGTAACTGCTGGGAATTTAATACTTGCCATAATTGGAAGTTCAGTGAAGGTGAACATCACTAAACATAATTTATGTCAATCAGGACCTCATTTGCATAATTTATGAGGAAACGCTAGAATAGCCTTATTTCTTAAGATAACCCTGTCATTTGGTGGAGAGTATGATCAATTGATACAATATATGCAAATGGCCTCATATGATTTGAATATATGCGGTGAAAAATGTAAGCCAATTACAGGTGGTCATCACCATGCGTAAGATTTATGAAAACAATACACATGTCATGGAGGTATGAGATCATCGAACTCTAGTTAACAATGTATTCACAATGATGGTGAAAAGGTTAGTTACCACATTGATTGGCGGCCATGTCAGACGTGAATTTTTATGGCCCATACCATCTACACCTGTTCCTCTGTCAGTAAAGATAGCAGCACATTTGGCAGCGCTGGTGGTCCATAGGTGGGATTCCTTGCAATAAAACGCACTGTGCACGGCCCGTAATCTTGGAACACTGTCTAATTTTACTCCTGGAATTTTCACAATGTTCCTATAAAAACCATTTCACTTGGAGAAAGAAAAGTGCAAACCGTTTTTAATCCATCCATCCATCCCTCACTCCATCCATCCATCCATCCATCCATCAATTCATCCATCCATCAAATTTTGAAGAGAGCATTTGTCATACTAGGATATCTTTAATCTTGATTTTGGTTGATCATATCTCTATTATAACTTTGTCAACTGCATCATTGAATGTTTAGACCTTACAGTAAATAGCATAAGTTGATTCATATATAGTGACTGTCTTGTACATAGCTTAATTTTGTACCCACGTGTCTGTTTGTATGTCTAGTGATAGACCTTACGAAAGTTGCTGTACATGTACTTTTCTTGTTCTTTAAAAATATATCATTGCAAAGCTTTTTTATTACCCATTACAATGATACCCCATTAGTTATGATTCATCTAAGTCCTGCTTTTGTGAGTGTTTTGCAAAAAAGTTTGTCAGCAAGTTGTAATACCAGGACATCAAGAATATACAACTTGAAATGGCAATACTACCAGTCAACATAAAAACCGATACTACCAACTGCTTTTCATAGACATAACTACATGCCAAAATCTATTTCAATTTGGCATAAAGCTGCATCACAACATTTTCTAAAAGAGATTCCTTGCGTCAGCCTTTTTTTATGTTGTCCATCTTTTATATCACCAACAAAAAAATATCCTGTTAGGATATCTCTTAGGAGAAAAGTGATGGGCTTCTTTCCGGTCCATTGGGAGAATCTGCAGTGGTTGTGAAATGACATGGTGGCACATGAAAGGACCCTATTTGCACCAGTCACAGCCATGACAAAGAACACACAGTTATTAATGGCCAACCTCTCCACTCACAGGTGGTACTCTGTCCAAGCTGCGAATGACCATCTTTTTCTTTCACCAAAGGTCTGATTGCTTTTGCCCTCTCAGCTTTGGCCATATTCTTTCGGTAAATTGAAGAAATTATGGGGCGAACCCTGACAATGACAGCAGTGACTGTCCTGAATGTCCTGATCTGTGATAGAGCATTCCGCCCTGGATAAATCGTGTGGCTTGCAAATTTCACTCGGACATAAAATCAGGATGGACGGTGGTGTGAGATGATTTTTCAGATGAAAATGGGAGTACACAATGTGTGATTTATTGTTCCATAGTCCCAAAACTTTACTCCATCAAAATGACAAAGGAATAATGGATTACAAATTCATCAGAGAAAAAGATGGGCCAAAACTTTCCCAGGGCATTAGGAACATAACAGTAGAATAAGTCTATATCTATAGGTCATAAAACAGGATTTCACAGTCTGTTACAGAGCCACTATATGTACTGGTATGTACAAATGTACATGTATGTTGTATTATAAAAATGTATATGTACTGCAGTCTGTGTCAATTTTCATTGATTTACCAACCAATTATACATGTATCCCTGCACCCAACAACACTTCAAATTGAAAAGACCCTTTAAATTTTGGAGTCAAATATAATTTTTTTTCTACACTCAAAAAGCACGAAATTCAAATCGACACACAAAACATTACTGGAGTAATAAGTTGCTACATAGGGCACGATGCCCTTGAAATTCGAAAAACATGGTGTCCTTGAAATTTCAGAAAGTGTCTTCCCAAATTTAAAGTGATGGGCATTAAATCAACCATAAACTGACACTCGTTGTAACAACAGCTGATCGTGTGACAAATGCAAACAAATTACCAGCACATACACAGCTGCTTCTCTCAAACCTTATGCAGAAATTTTTACAGACTCTTTAGGACACTTCGCCATCTATGGGCCAAACCGACAGAAGAGATATTGTCACGGGTCTAAGAGATTATTCAGATCTGACAGGAAGAGCTTTAGAGTTAGTTATCCTCAGATTAGGCTGTTACCTTTCGGGGAAAGTTCAAACCCTCAAACATCTGCTTGTCTTATCAACGAGATAGGGTGCAGAAATGACAGAAATGTCTTATCAATGGATTTATTATTTTTCATTCCATTATTTTTTTCTCTTTTGTTTGCTATGTCGTCATCAAATTTAGAATACTAGTAATATTTCCATAAAAATGCCGTGTGAGGTCATAGAAATGATCCACCATCTTTTAAACGGGCCCCG